ATCGAGGCTGGTTTGCTCCAAATCCAAAATTTTGAATTGGAGGCGCTTAAAAATCTCTTCCAGAGCTTCACAAGCCTTGTAGTCTAATTTTTCACCTGTAAAAACAAGAGGAACAAACAGTGTGTGAGGGTTTAAAATGGGAGGGAGGGGGTTTATGACCAGCCAGTTGGAAAGAATTAAAGGGGGTGGGGGGAAGAGAGATTTTAGACCATCTTGGGAGTCAAAGCACCAAACGTCTCCCTGCTCAGGAAAGTGGGGATGAGCTGTCCGGCGCAAGGCTACCTCAAATCAAGAATCATGTTGGTATACCTAGCTGTCAGACCTATAGCTATATATATTATGGCTGTGAATGGCTGAATCTCTAACTGGTGAAAAAGCTGCACAGATCGCTGCACAGGGGGCTTAAAATGAGGGTAAGACCAACGAGGCCTGGAAAAGCAGGGGGCTGGACTGGAAGACCTCCAAGGTCCCTTCCAACTCTGACATTCTATTGTATTCTATTGTATTCCCTATTCTATTCTATTCTCTATTCTATTCTATTCTATTCTATTCTATTCCCTATTCTATTCTATTCCCTATTCTATTCTATTCCCTATTCTATTCTATTCTCTATTCTATTATATTCTATTCTATTCTATTCCCTATTCTATTCTATTCCCTATTCTATTCTATTCTCTATTCTATTCTATTCCCTATTCTATTCTATTCCCTATTCTATTCTATTCCCTATTCTATTCTATTCCCTATTCTATTCTATTCTGTTCCCTATTCTATTCTATTCTATTCTATTCTATTCTATTCTATTCTATTCTATTCTATTCTATTCTATTCTATTCTATTCTATTCTATTCTACTCTACTCTACTCTACTCTACTCTATTCTATTCCCTATTCTATTCTATTCTATTCTATTCTATTCATCAAACGGGGCACAACACAAAACGGTCTTGCTTAGCAACGGAAAATCCGGGCTCTCTTTGCCCCCTTTCATAACAATGATGAAGCGCCCGTTCACAAAGCACCTTGAATTGGAAAAAAATTGATGCAGATTTCGCCCAGGTCAGGAAGGATGCTCAGAGCAGTGGCTGTTTAACCCACACAGGGCTGCTCTTTCTTCTCTCAGCTGTCAAGTGTGACCCATTCGTTTTCCATTCGGATGACGTCTGCACTCTCATACACACCTGGAGCCCTGGCAATTTATGGCCCTGACCCCCCCCCCTCTCTCTCTGGGAACAGGCATTTCCTTTTGAAACGAAGCTTCTGTTTAGCAGCCCTGCATAGGAAAGCCATCTTGCAGCCAACAGGCTGTCATCCTTGTGCAAACACAATGTTTACCCGTGGCTTTAAAGGGGCCTGCTTAGTTATGAAATATAAACCAGAGGAGGGAACGGGGTGGGGGTGGGAGAGGAAAGTTCATCGCAGGTGAATCCAAACAGGGCCGTGCGTCATTCTGGCTTATTGCGGAAAAGATGATACAGGTGTTCATCGCCCCCCCCCACCGTCAATCTGGTTGCACTATTGGGTGCATTGCTGATTTTCCCCACACACCCCCTCCCCACCTCAAACTTGATTAACTTTGCAAATCTACAACTGGAGAAAGATGAACCACAGAAGTGTCGGTGGGCAAGCCGGTGATAAGCCTGAGCCAGTTTTAGAACGTCGGATGACACACAGCCAAGCCGGCAAAAGATAATGACAAATTTGCAGGTGGCAGTCGGCAAAATGGCCCCAGGGTCTGTGACATCCATTCTGCCAGCCTTTGCTAAAAAGGGGGGCTGTTTTCAAATGCAGATAACTGGAACCAATTCTTGAACGGGAAGAGGGTAAGGCGTGACCGTGTCGGCAAAACAGCTCTGCCGACGAAAGGCTTGAAGACGTACCTTTTAGATCCAGGCAATCTATCCGAGGGGTTAGATCTTTAAATTCCTGCAACAGAATAATAGCAAATTATGATTTATGGCAAGAGTGGGAGAGAAGCACGGGAAACAGAACAGAACTGTGTGTCAGGGCCCTGCTGGTGTCTTATAACTTTGGATAGTAAGATGGGAAGCATAGATAAATGTAATAAAAAAAAATAAAAATAAAATCATAAGCAAAAAGTCCAAATCTCCCTCAGAAGCCAAGTCAATTTGCTTCGGCTCTACGATTAAAGAATTTGTATTTTCTTCTTGGCCGTGGTTCTCAAGATGGAATCCCTAAAATTCAAAATCCAAAGGGTAACGATGGACGCTAAAGAGAATTTTGCGACTTCGCTTGAGATCAGAGGCGGTCTCCTTTCTCCTTTTCCTTGGATGGATAGAGGCTATGAGACATTGAGAGTAGCCTCTATGAGGTAGAAGATCTGGGTTCAAGTCTCTCCAGGAAGGACTGGGAAAAGATCTCCCAGAATTCCTGAGCCAGCCACGCTGAGGGGAAAGGGAGAGGTTTCCATGCTGAGCCATGCTGGCTCAGGAATTCTGGGAGTTGAAGTCCACCCATCTCTAAGTGGCCAAGGTTGAGAAATACAGGCCTAGACCAGGGGTAGGCAACCTTGGCTCTTTTATGACTCGTGGACTTCAACTCCCAGAATTCCTGAGCCAGCCGTGTTGAAGGGAAAGGGAGAGGTTGCCATGCTGGAGCCATGCTGGCTCAGGAATTCTGGGAGTTGAAGTCCACCAGTCATAAAAGAGCCAAGGTTGCCTACCTCTGGCCTAGGCCTAGGCCGTTTTATGACTCGTGGACTTCAACTCCCAGAATTCCCGAGCCAGCCGTGCTGAGGGGAAAGGGAGAGGTTTCCAAGCTGAGCCATGCTGGCTCAGGAATTCTGGGAGTTGAAGTCCACCAGTCATAAAAGGGCCAAGTTTGAAGACCCCTAGTTTAAATATTTAAATATTTTTTCCTCACGGTCACGTGATCAAAATTCAGGCATTTGGGCAGGGGTAGGCAGCCTTGGCTCTTTTATGACTGGTGGACTTCAACTCCCAGAATTCCTGAGCCAGCATGGCTCAGCATGGAAACCTCTCCCTTTCCCCTCAGCATGGCTGGCTCAGGAATTCTGGGAGTTGAAGTCCACCAGTCATAAAAGAGCCAAGGTTGCCTACCCGAGCTAGGTAGACCGAGGGCGTGCCTCAACACAAAATGGTTTCCAAAAATAAAGCCCAAGGATGTATATAACCACCTCCTCCTCCCACAGGCAGATCTAATCAATCAAGGCAGGGATACCTTTAAGAACAAGCACCCACCTGGACCTGCTTCAGTAGTTTGGGTATCTGTTTGCAATTTAATTTTTGACAGGCTTGCTTGTAGGCGGTGAGAACTTCTTCCACAGTCACATTCTGGGCTGAAAAGGAAGTGAGAAAGAGAGGGATGGAGGGGAGCTGCCAGTAACGAAAGCCCCCCTTGCTTGGGCAACAGGAGCTTCAGAAGCACACACACACACACACACACACATACACACACACATACAAGAACCTCAGAAGTGGACAGCATCTGGAGATAAGAAGCCAAAGGGTGCTGGGAGGAGTACGGGTTTTTTGGGAGTAGTGAAGTAGCTCAGCCTTGCTTGTTTATTTATTTACTAGATTCTTATCCTGCCTTTGTCCAGCAGTTCAAGATGTGGAACATACTTAATACTTCTTCCTCCCCCTATTTCTTTTCCCCCCCCAACAACAACCCGTTGAGGTGAGCTGGGCTGAGAGAGGGAGGGACTGGTCCAAGGTCAGCCAGCTGGCTTTCATGCCTAAGGTGGGATTAGAACTCACGGTCTTTTGGTGATGGGGCCAAAGTCACCCAGGTTGACTTTTGTGCTTAAAGCGGAACTAGAACTCACAATCTCCGGGTTTGTAGGTCAGCACTTTTAACCATTAGGCTAAACTTGTCTTTTTTTGTGAATATGATGCTCCCACACTATGTTCAACAGATTCTTTCAACCCCCATTCTCTCTCTCTTTCTCTTTTTTTCCTCTCCCTCTCTTTTCCTCTTTTTTTCTCTCTCCCTTTCTCTTTCCTCTCCCCCCCTCCCTCTTCCCCTCTCTCCTCTCCCCCTCTTTCTCTTTCCTCTCCTCCCTTTCCTCTCCCTCTCTCCCTTTCTCTTTCCTTGCCCCCTCTTTCCTCTCCCTCTCTTCCTCTTTCTCTCTTTCCTCTCCCCCCTTTCTCTCTCTCTCTCTTCCTCCCTCTCTCCTCTCCCCCCCTCTTTCCTCTCCCTCTCTCTCCCTTTCTCTCTCTCCTCTCCCTCCTCCCTCCCTCCCTCCCCCCACTCTCTCTCTCCCTCTCTCCTTCCTCCTCTTTCCAAGAGGAAGCCCTCTTTGGGCTATTAGTTATTAAGGAAAAAGAGACTGGCATTCCTTCAAAGGTCCCTCCAGACTGTTTTCTGCAAGATCATGCAGCCCGGGTGGTTTGTGATTAACTGGGGGGAGCCTGGCACCAGCATGTAAACTGATAAGAGCCATTAAGCACAAATATTTACCCAAAGAAAACCGCCAAGCCAACCTGAACAGCTTCAGGAGATGCCAAAGATGTTGGGGTCAGGCCCGAGGGAGGTAGGCAGGCAGGCACCTAATTGCAAGGTTAGAATCTAACCTTGATTACTGAAGCAGAGAGATGACCATCCCCCCACCCCACCCCACCCCAATCCTAACCCGTGCCTGGCTCCCTCGTTCAGAAAAGGAGAACTCCACCATTAACACAATCCCTGGCCAGACAAGACATTTGCAACTGGTTGTAGCTGCCACGCATTTCGGTTTTAAGGGTATTTGTCAGCAAGCCGAGCATTCATGTCCAGGAGGAGAGAGGACTCTTTTGTTTAGTTTTCGTTTTTTTAAAAAATAATAATAATTTCAGAAGCCTGAATTTGGGGGGGGGCAAGCATCTGCAAACCTGCTTGATAATTCTAGCCTTGCAGTTCATTGTTTGCTTCAGGCAGCTCTCCTAAACGGAGGGTACATTTTAAGGTCGATTCCCCAAGCCATTCTTTCACATTAAAATGGGAAAGGATGGACTAGCGATGGGAAAGGATGGACTAGTGGTGGCGAACCTATGGCACGCGTGCCAGAGGCGGCATTCAGAGCCCTCTCTGTGGGCACACGCGCCATGCCCCGGAGATGGCAACCGTCCCTCTTCAACCAGCCGCCTGCTAACTCACTGAGGTCCCACGTGGCCGGATGCATCCCAGCACCCATGCGCTCGCTGGCCTCTGTGTAGGGGCCGATGGTGTCAGGCAGCAGCCGCCCCGGCCCCTGCCTCATCTTGCCCTGTGACAATGGCACCCCCGCCCTGCCTCGCCTCACCCTGCAGGACTAGCCTCCTGCCCACCGCCCCACCTGCCAGAGACCCCCCTGGATCTCTCCCAACCCTGCCCGCTCCCCACAGGCATCCCTCCCCACGAGGAACATCGAGGTGATCACGCCCACCTTGGCCACCCCCACCCAATCTGCCATGACCACCACAGCCACGCCCACGCCCACCTGGCGATAAATAATAATAATAATAATAATAATAATAATAATAATAATAATAATAATGATGATGATGATGATGATGATGATGATGATGATGATGAAAAAGTTGGAAGGGACCTCAGAGGTCATCTAGTCCAACCCCCTGCTCAGGCAGGAAACCCTATACCATTTCAGACAAATGGCTGTCCAGTCTTTTCTTAAAAACTTCCAGTGTTGGAGCATTCACCGCTTCTGGAGGCAGGTTGTTCCACTGGTTAATTGTTCTAACTGTCAGGAAACTTCTCCTTAGTTCTAGGTTGCTTCTCTCTTTGGTTAGTTTCCACCCGTTGCTTCTTGTCCTGCCTTCAGGCGCTTTGGAGAAGAGCTTGACTCCCTCTTCTTTGGGGCAGCCCCTAAGATATTGGTTTTGGGTTGCAGTTTGGGCACTCGGTCTCTAAAAGATTCGCCATCACTGGACTAGCAAGACACCCAGGTTAAGAAGGAGGTCATCGACATGACTTGAAGGGCAAACTGTCTCCTAGAAAGGGGGGGGGAGTGTCTCCAAACTTGGCAACCTTAAGCATGGCTAGCTGAGGAATTCTGGGAGTTGAAGTCCACAAGTCTTAAAGCTGCCAAGTTTGAAGACACACACACACACACACACACACAGTTCTAGAAGGAAGAAACTGGGTTTCAGGAAACGCCAGATCTACATAGGTGGCCCTTCCCATGGCTGACCCTTCCACCAAGGTAAACTCTAGGTCAAGGGTAGGCAACCTTGGCTCTTTTATGACTCCTGGACTTCAACTGGCTCAGGAATTCTGGGAGTTGAAGTCCACGAGTCATAAAAGAGCCCAGGTTGCCTACCCCTGGCTCTCGGTGTTAATTCTCAGCTAGCTTCAAATCTGCTGAGAGAAAGATGGGTGGGGGACTTTCGTAGCGTTACTGCTGAATTTGGTAGTGAGTGAAGCTTCCCAAATTAATTAATACAAGAGGTGCAAATGAAAACAGATTCATACATCAGACAGACTTCTCCAGTTTAATGCAGAGCCACTGGGGTAGGAGAGACCGGAGCCCAAAAAGAAGAAGGGGTGAAAGAATCGGGGCTTAAGCATTTGTGCCTGGGGGGAAAAATTTGGTTTAAGTGCAGCTATCCACTGAAGTGGGAAGATATACTGCAGGAGTCTTCAAACGTGGCCCTTTTATGACTTGTGGACTTCAACTCCCAGAATTCCTCAGCCTGGCTGAGGAATTCTGGAAGTCCAAGTCCACAAGTCATAAAAGGGCCACGTTTGAAGACCCCCTGATATACTGTATTTACAGCTCTTTCTCCTTGGACACTACAGTGCAGTAGCTTAATATTTACAGGCTTGTTTGGCAACCGTCCAAAGTCACGACAGCACTGGAAAAAAAGTGACTCACACTTACCGGTCCTCACACTTACGACCGTCACCGAATCCCCACAGTTACATGATCACAATTTAGGTACTTGGCAACCAGCAAGTCTTTTGGACAACGGAGGTGTCCCAGGGTTACCTGACCGACATTGGCGATCTTCCCAGCCGGCTTCCGACAAGCTACGTCCACGAGCAAAAGCTGGGTTTGCTTAACGACTGTCTGAGTTACTTAAGAACCGCGGTGTGGCAAAAAAGGCCGTAAAATCGGGCACACCTCATTTAACAACTGCCTTGGTTAGAAACGGAAATTCTGTTATCATTAAGTGGAGGATTACCAGCCTTTCAGTCTCATGATTACTTAGTATTTTTAGGTTCCTGAGAATTATACTCTAAAACAAGGTTTAATCATCCTAATTAAGCTCTGAAAATAGTGTGGTCCTTGAACAGACTTTCCGTACAGCTGACATGAAACACACCTACAATTAAACCAAGAGCACGGCATACTTTTAAAACCAGTAGCTTAGATTTATGCAGAAAAAATAATAATAATAATGCACAGTTGATTTGTCTCAATATTTTTTTAGCAGGAAAGAGAATTTTCTCTTGTTTACACATACCAGCCCAAGTAATTCCCCGTCAATGTACCAGGAAGTATTTTTTTTTATGACTGTATGTACTTTGGTTTACATATGTATAATCTAACCTTTCTCCCAGACCAAGGGATATAATATATATAATGCGTGGATGGTTGTCATCTTATAGTCCATGAAAGCCACTTGTTCCAACCCCAGTTGTGGGAACCCAGACATAGTGGTTGTGTAAGCCACGGCTTATGATTTTGCCTTGTTTAAACCAAGCCGTAACTGTTTGTAAATCATGTTTTCTTACAAAAGTATACAAAAGTTGTCGGTTTGGATGAGACAGCTGGCTTTGCATGACATTCTCTAGAAATGATGGGGCCAGCAGTTTGATCCTGACCGGCTCAAAGTTGGACTTAGCCTTCCATCCTTCCGAGGTCTGGAAAAATGAGGACCCAGATTGTTGGGGCAACAGGCTGACTCTGTAAACAGCTTAGAGAGGGTGGTAAAGCACTGTGAAGCGGTATATAAGTCTAAGTGCTACTGCTATTCCTTCCCTCCCTCCTTCCCTCCCTCCCTCCCTTTTCTTCCTTCCTTCCTCCCTCCCTGTTCTTGTTCTCCTTCCTTCCTTCCTTCCTTCCTTCCTTCCTTTCTCCCAGTAGTGGTTCAAATGCATATTGCAGGCTAACTCTGCCCACTGCCTGGAGTTCGATCCTGACCGGCTCCAGGTTGACTCAGCCTTCCATCCTTCCAAGGTCGGTAAAAATGAGGACCCAGATTGTTGGGGGCAATAGGGTGACTCTGTAAACCGCTTAGAGAGGGCGGTAAAGGACTGTGAAGCAGTATATAAGTCTAAGGGCTAATGCTATTCATGGGGAAAAGGTATCATGCGAATTGGATCTTATTCCTGGATGAGATGCTGGGCGGGGTC